CGTCAAGTTTACCGAAATGAGCTTGATGGCCTCCAGCACGAAATGGTAAATTATAAAATACAAGAGTATGATATTATAGTTTTTGCTGTAATGATACTGATAAATGTTTTATTTTATTTCAGTTGAAACAGTGGAGACCCTATACACCGCCGAGCTCGATATAACATTCTCTTGGCACCTTGTTAGGCAATAAAAATTACCTTTAAATCCTTATCAGAGAAGTTCAGAACAAAACTGCTAAAACGTCACCCGAATAGCGCGAAAAAGGGAAAACCAGATATTCCCAAACGGCGTAAGGAATTTGGCAAAAACGGAGGAAGCGAACCGAAGCTTCGGCTCGTTCGGATGGCTGCCATCTCATCCAGATAGCGATTTTCCATATATAATTCGTCCAATTCCGACTTACGGTGTTGGAAAGTTACGGGCCCTATTCTTCAATCGCATGCTCAGGAGCTGCGCCTGGTGCAAATCAAAATTCGGCCTGCAGTCCCAAATCCGCACTGCAAGCCAAGTCTGGGCTGCTCGCCTGAACTCGACATTCGCGCTGCAGTTGCAAATCCGCCTGCGAACCCAAGTTGCCCTGGCAATCCGCAGCTCTGGCCTGCAGTCTCAAATCCGCCTGCAGAACCCAGTCGCGCCTGCAGTCCAAACTGCGCCTGCAGACCCAGTTCGCCCTGCAGCTCTACAGACCAAGTCTGCGCTTGCAGTCCTCAAGCTCGCCTGGCAGACCAAGCTGCAGACGTCGGCCAGCTCACTGTTCACTGGCCGCACTTGGAGTATGATAACAGTTACAGTAGTCGGTCAAAATCCGCGCTCACAAGATCAAGGGAGAGGGCACGAATATCCAGCCCGTCAGATGGCCGTCCACCGTACGAAATGAGCGGAACAGGCGCGCGAAACATGCCTGCACCCTCATAAATGCGGGGCTCACCGTCAGTTATCCAGGCGAAGGGACGAGAGCGCCAACGCTCGGTGGTTGGTCAGATTCCACGCAAGCATCTGACAGCGCCGTTTGTCACGCATACGAGGAGGGGCTTTCCCACTCCTATGTAGCGTGATGCAGAGCACAGTCTTCGAATGACCATTGACGGTACGAATGAACAGGGCAGACGTCTCCGAACAAGGTGTGGGTACAGGGATCCCATAAATTCAAGGAGTAGTCAACTGTCTGCGCCTTCACATGTCAAATGCACTGAATCAAGGGATGGCCCCATGTCATCCTTGCTACTAAACACATCTTCAAGCAGCATGAAGAATGAGGATTGGCTGTTGCATATTTCCGGCTGGCTAATCTCACCAAAGGTTGAACTGGACTTTTCGCAAAGCTCCCCTCATTTGAAAGAGACTCGTCGAACTCTCCGACTTGAGGCTCTCGGGTAGACTCCGAACCGGCACTTACATCGACCTTCTAGCTGCGATTACTGAAGCTCCAGCAGCAACTTCGACGATCGTGCCAAGGGAAAGCAGACTCGGCACGAGCCCGACAGAAGCGTCCTAATAGCCAACCGGAAGAACCACGTTAAACAAAGAGGGCATTCCTCTGCTTCTGTGTAAAACATATTGATTATTAGTTTGTAAATAAGCTTTCTTATCAATACAAACGAAACTCCTTCCTTCGGAAGAATCAAATTTTCACCCTACACACCTATCTGCCGATATAGTCCCGGCTTGTGGAGAGCCAGAGTTCCATTGATCTGTTGGGAGATCGTAGAGATGCATGTACCGGACCGTGTGCTACGGCAGTTTACACTCTCTCAGCATATTCCAGATCCTGTCGAGCAGATCAATCGTCGGCGGCGCCCTACATCGCACCGGACTGACTGGGCCGTAGTCCGTGCGGCCTACATAGACAGGTGGGTTCACAGGTGGGATTTCATACAGGATACGAGGCCCACAGCTGTTGACTATACCGCGTATATGCGTTGGTATTGGGGTATCACACGCAGATGGATCACGCGTGACCCACAGCCCTTAGCTGGACACATGCCACGCCCACCGATAGATAGTTACATCCCTAGTGGAATGAACGAGAGAGATTACGTAAGTTTCTAAGCTAAATTATAACATTTTTTATTGAGTTGATACTTAATAAATTGTTTACCACGCAGGTCCGTGTTTTAGATAGCATTGATGCTGATATTGATGCGCACGTGACTGAGATTCAGGATATGCCGATGACGCCGGCACTTCGCATGCCGATGGAGCCGGCACTTCACAGCTTCATACACAGCCGGATACTCAGATAGTTGAGGCTCATCAGCAGGGAACCCAGGGGGCGGGGAAGAGCGAGGGGAGGGGGAAGAGAGGGAGAGGAAGGAGGGGAGCTATATTGGGTTGTATATGAACTTATTTTGATAAATTTTGTAACTTTCCTGAATTTTCAAATACTAAACTTTTGAAGGTAAATTATTGTTTATATACATAATCGTGTGTGTTTAATTCATGGTTGAATTATGTATATATTGTTGTTTGCAAATAAATTGGCATATATATGAGTTATAATTCATTGTTGAATCATGTATATTGTTGTTTGCAAATAAATTGGCATATATATGAGTTAACATGTACATATGTTTTAACATGCACAGCAGGCTGTGCATTCTAGATGACCTGCAACTTCACGGGAGTTCAACTCCCGTGAAGTTGTAGTCCCAATTTCCCAGAGAACCGAGATCGGTTCTCTGGGAATGTTGGACTGTAACTCCACGAGAGTTGAACTCCCGTGGAGTTTTAAACACAAATTAAGCTTCACGGGAGTTCAACTCCCGTGAAGTTTAATTTCTCCATAAACTTCACGGGAGTTGAACTCCTGTGATGTTTCAGAGATTTTTTTACAAAAACCGACATGTTTTCAGCGTTGGGCTGAAAACATGTCGGTTTTTGTAATTATTTTCAAAATAGGTCGTTTTTTGCAAATAAAATGCTAAAAGGGGTGGTTTTGAAAATTTGTCCTCTATTTTGATCTGACTTCCCTCTGGATGAAAAAACATAGCCGGTTTAACTTAAAACTGAATGATTGTTTAGTCATGACCTAGTTTCTAGTTTCGAGATAACCCCGACTATTTAGGAGGTTGTAAACCCCCAATTATAACCCTAAACCCTAACATTCTATGCACTGAATAGTCGGGGTTGGCAACCTTGACTATTTAGAAACCGGATTAAGACAAAATGAGTTGATTTTTGTAAAAAAACTCAAGCGGGTCAATTTTTAGAAAAAAAAAATTATGAATTGTATGTTTAGAAAATTTCATCAGACAAAATAAAAAAATGATATAGACACACTTTCGGGCATACCTCCAGTCACACCCCCCTCTAGCTACAGTGTAGGGGGCCACACTTGAGATTTAAAAAAAAAAATCTCAAGTGGGGCCTCCTGCACTGTAGCTAGAGGGGGTGATAAAAATCTCAAGTGGAGCCTCCTGCACTGTAGCTAGAGGGGGAGTGTGACCGGAGTTGTGTCCAAGGGTGTGCATGTAGCGCCTCCCGACAAAACATAATCCATGCTTACTTGTGGTGGAGCTTTCATCCTTTGACGCTTGACTGGAAAAGAATCTAAATGTTGTGTTGATCTTCTTTCGTAAAAAAAAAAGTGGACTTATTTTTGCTTTTGTATGACGGACCCACTTGCTCTTATTGTTGCCTGGGAGGACCTGAGATCACCGAAGTCATCATGATAAAAAGTTGGCCATATTATTTTATTAATGTTTCAGTTTATCATGCTTTGCTAATATGGCCTCCACGTATCCGAATAGCTTTTTTATTATAATATAACCAAAATAATTTATATGAAGGGAACATAT